CGTGATCCGCCCGCCTCAGCCTCCCCAAGTGCTGGGATTACAGGCGTGAGCCACTGCACCCAGCCTTTGTTTTTAATAGAGACAGAGACTGGAGTCAGGCTGGAGTGCAGTAGTGTAATCATAGCTCACTGTAGCCTTGAAATTTTGGGCTCAAGCAGTTCTCTCACCTTAGCATCCTGAGTAGCTGTAAGTACAGGTGTGCACCACCACACCCAGCTAATTTTTTTATTTTTAAAATTTTTATAGGCATGACTTCTCTACAAAAATTTGCCCAGGCTGGTCTTGAACTCCTGGGCTCAAGCGATCTTCTCACTTTGGCCTACCAAAGTGCTGAGATCACATGCATGAGCCACTACTTACAGCCTGAAATTCTTAATTTTTTTTTTTTTTTTTTTCCCCGAGAGACTGAGTCTCACTTTGTTACCCAAGGTGGAGTACAGTGGCACTATCTCCGCTCACTGCAACCTCTGCCTCTCAGGTTCAAGCAACTCTCTTGCCTCAGCCTCCCGAGTAGCTGGAATGACAGGCTCGCACTACCGTGCCCGGGTAATTTTTGTATTTTTAGTAGAGACGGGGTTTCGCCATGTTGACCAGGTTGGTGTTAAACTCCTGATCTCAAGTGATCCGCCCACCTTGGCCTCCCAAAGTGCTGGGTGGCGTGAGCCACTACACCCAGCCAAAATTCTTAATTTCTGAACAAGGGGCCCCACATTTTTATTTTGTCCAAGATCCTACAAATTATGTAGTCAGTTCTGCTGAGGAGGCTCAGAAATCCTCTCCCACACCTTCTACTGCCGGCTCCTTGTCACTGAAGCTTCTGTCTTCTCCGGTGATGGTGACAAGGTGGCAACTTTTATGGGGGGGACCTAAGTGGAGAGCCCCAGAGCAGATCTCTTACTCGATGAGTATTTCGAAACACTTGTTCACTCCCACTTATATAAACAGATACTGGGACCCAAAGACTATTTTCACTGAGGTTGTCAAAGGAGCTGGGTAGAGAAGTTGATAAATTGCTGCGTAATTACATTGTCTTTGTTGGTTATAGTTCAAAGTCCTGCTGATAGTGCATTTTGAAAGCCCAATGAGGAAGTTTAAATGCTGTTATCCCCACCATTGTCCTAATGAGTCCAGCAGTGACTGGCACTTTCCTGAGCCAGGAAGTCAGGAAGTGAATAAACCCCCACAGTGGTCTTGATGACTTGGCCAAGGGTGGTGTAGTAAGTCGGCATTTGGAGTCCAGAAGTTATGTGTCAGAAGATGAGGCTTCTTGACCAGGCATGGTGGCTTATGCTGATAATCCCAGCACTTCGGGAGGCCCAGGCGGATGGATCACTTGCATTCAGGAGTTCAAGACCAGCCTGGCCAACATGGCGAAACCCGGTTTCTACTAAAAATACAAAAATTAGGCCAGGTGCAGTGGCTGACTCCTGTAATCTCAGCACTTTGGGAGGCTGAGGCAGGCGGATCACGAGGTCAAGAGATGGAGACCATCCTGGCCAACATGGTGAAACCCCATCTCTACTAAAAATACAAAAATTACCTGAGTGTGGTGGTGTGTGTCTGTAGTCCCAGCTACTCGGGAAGGTGAGGCAGGAGAATCGCTTGAATCCGGGAGGCAGAGGTTGCAGTGGGCTGAGATTGCACCACTGTGCTCCACACTGGCGACAGAGTGAGACTCCGTCTCGAAAAACAAAATTAGCTGGGTGTGGTGGCGCACGCCTGCAGTCCCAACTACTTGGGAGGCTGAGGCAGGAAAATCGCTTGAACCCAGGAAGCAGAGGTTGCAGTGAGCCGAGATTGTGCCGCTGCACTCTAGCCATCTACCCTGGGCAATAGAGCAAGATTCCATCTCAAAAAAAAAAAAAAAAAAAAAAGTGAGGCTCTTGAAACACAGCAGCCTGGAGGAGTTGAGTGCTGTTACCTAAGAAGAAAATGGGTTTCCATGCACTGCCCACACCCACATCTCACCATTTAATGTTGGC